TTGCTCTGTGTTAACGTCCTTAAACACTACTTACTGTTATGGGTAGGTTTGGGTGGTTGTTTTGTAGGCTTTTTTTTTTTTAAAGTACTGCTTCATCATGTTTACAACAATTACTGTGTCTCACTTAACTGAACTCCATGGGGTTTAACTTTTGGAGGTCTAAATGTTCTGAAAATTTAAGCTGGTTTTTGTCGCTATCAGTAAGTGAGTTTTTGCATTAGTTTTGATTTTAAACAGACAGATGTTAAAAAGCACTAAGACGAAAAATGATGCTTCCAAAACCACTACAAGCATACAGAAGTTACATAATTTTTCTTGTTATTTATTTTGTAAACTCAGGTAATCTGTTTGTTGGACAGAAAACAGAACTCAAAGTCCCCTGTTGATATAATCCTGAGCAGAAGCTTCCTGAAATTAGCAGGAAGTCTCCCTGTGATTTTAGCAGGCTGAGTAGAAGGTAATGCAATGCAGGATGCCATCAACAACACACACCCGCTCTAGTACGTGGCATCCTGAGCTTACAGGCAATTCAAGGGGCAAAAGGATTTTCCAATTCCTGTGGCCCTTATGGGACTGTCAGCTAAGGAACGCATTATAACTGGGTGATGGAACTTATCTGGGTGGGTACTCTGATAGGGCCTCCCAGCCTGACAACATAAGATAGAACTTCAGCGTTCATTTTGAAATAGGTTAAAAACAAAAAAGCACAATGGTTTCTCTTATTTGGTAGCAAAGTTAATTATCTACATATCACAATAGTAAGAGAAAAAAACTCCCACAAAGACTGGCTGCAAGTTGCTTCCCATAAAAGCAACAGAACATCTGTGAAGAAAAGTAATATTCATTTTTTTCTTAGCACAACACAATGATCCAGAATTTCCTAAAAATAAAATTAAAACAAAACAAATCCAAGATGGCAGTTATAACAAATCTAAATAAACTCAGATGTAAGTATCGCAATACTAAGAGAAAAAAACTCCCACAAAGACTGGCTGCAAGTTGCTTCCCATAAAAGCAACAGAACATCTGTGAAGAAAAGTAATATTCATTATTTTCTTAGCACAACACAATGATCCAGAATTTCCTAAAAATAAAACAACAAAACAAATCCAAGATGGCAGTCATAACAAATCTAAATAAACTAAGATGTAAGACAAATGCAGATATAATTATCTATGCCATACAGCAAGATAGGGAAGTTTCCTCCAAAAATATTCTTATAACACCACCATAAAATCTTGGTGGTCTAATCAACATATATCTCAAAAAAGCAGCCTGTCAAAGCTGACCCTAAATGCAGGAACTATCAAAACAGTACAGAGAGATACCCACCACATAAACAGTCAAGGGAAAAAAAGCCCACAGAAATAACACAATGACAAAGGGTTTCATATTCTTCATGTTCAATTTTAGAAAGCTAGATGACATCTAAAGCAAAAATGTCACACAGACACTTGTATATAACAGAGAGGTGTCATCAGCCTGGCAGGAACTGAAAATTATATCCCCCATCCTATTTATATTGATAGGTCCAACACCTGTATACAATTTTCTTTTCCTGTTAGTGAAATAAATGCATAAAATACATTTCAGAAGAAAATTAAAAACTTTGGAGTGAGGACAAAAGGAGTGTGAAGAAGTACAAAAGTGCAAAGAAGGCTGACTGAAATAAGAATTCAACCAGATCAAAAACTATTGATAAGTCAAGATTGATATTCAATCCTGAAGAATGAAAAAATTATCCTAATTCATTCCTTCGCACAGTCTTACACTCACTTGTATCCATGAAAGCAAAACATTGAAAACTCTCCAAGAATTGGAGAACAATTCAGTTACCTTTTTGTAACATGGGGGTGGGGGGGTGCAGAAGTAATCAAGATGACCACTAAAACCCTGAAAAGCCTCAATGCTGCAAGAGATTTAGAAAAAGGGGCGGTGGGAGGGAGCAGGAAGAGCCATCCCCTGGAAAGCAGTTGACAACCTCCTCCTCAGTAAATTTAGCAGATATATTGTATTAGACACAAAGAAAGTCAAGTGAAGGAATAAAAATAAACAACTCCCCTTCGGAAATATATGCAAGATTACTCGGTAAAACAAACCAACCAACTAACTGCTTTTCTCTGAAAAGCAAAAGGTCACCAATCTTGGTGAAAATACAGCTATAAAAACTTTTGGCCAAATATCAAAGAGCATGTTCACAAAAGGGCTACATTCATTGTAACACTAACCATTCAAACTGCACAATAGATTTCAGGAGAGAACAGGAAGCAACAACAAACATCTGTTATCACGTTATTTTCTTCAGGTCCTCTGCCCAGAAATTACATCTAGATTTTGCCCATCTTCCAAATCTTACCAGAGGCAAGTCAGACATGGGCTGGAGGCTGCACCATTCTGACCATGCCTCATACAGCATTATGACAACAAGCCATGCCCAAGAGACATGGAAATGTCACATTTTAACAGTTTACATATAACGCAGCTGAAGTACCTCATTTAGCAGTCAGCTGTCCAAACTGCACAGACATTGCATAGACACATCTGGAAAATAGTGCAAAGCCTTCCTGGAGCCAGGCCAGGGCAGGGGTGATACCTGTTGCATCCAAGCAGGACAGCCAACTTAGACAACTACAGTACATTCAGCACTGCTGGAGAGAGTTGGACTTACTGTGCCCATGTATCTTAAATGTAGTGTGCAGATATAATAGGTCCATCTTCTCAAAAAAAATTAAAAATAGTCACTGGACCAAGTAAGCACTGCATGTAACGTACTCTATTTCACCTCAGGTTTCAGACACAGGGAGAGATGTCATCCAGCAGCAGGCTCCCATAGCTAGAGCTATGCCTCTGTCTGCAGTCCGTTCTCCTGAAGAACCCAAGAATCTGAACCACCTCAGCTAACCTCAAAGAGTACATGTGTCCTACAGGCTGTACAACAGACACTTTTCAATACTTATTTGGGGCAGCACAGACTGGAAGGGAAAACCCACGTCTGAAAAGTAAATTATCAAGAAACACACTTCCATTTCAAAAAGCCTGATATCAGTTCCAGGGACAGATATTTGAGACATAAGACAGAACGAAAAAGTTAATAGGACTATAAGCAACGAAAGAAAAATTCGCTCAAAAAAAACCCCCAACAACACAAAACAACAAAAAACCCAAAACCCCACATATTCATCTACTTTGGACTTATTGCAGGAACACATGCAGTGGAAATTAATTCATGCCTGCTGTGCTTGAAGTGCTACAGACAATGATGTTTAACACATTTAGTACATGACGGATCTTGCCTTTTCTTTCCAGGAAGTAAATGTGAACTTAGAGAAAGAGGGCTATGTTCCCTTCCTGGAGTCAACATATCCAAGGCCGGACACACTCCAGAAATGTGCTTCTTGAAACATCTGTACATTAAATATTCAACCAGTTCCAGGCCAAGGGATTTAAATCGACAGGGAATAGAAGGCGGTTTTCCCAAGCCAGCCACTTCTGCTGCAGCTTGTCAATGACAAGGGGGTTTGCACCAGCAGAACTCCACCATGAATAAACGCTGCACTTCTATACAAAAGCATTTCATATCAGTGCACCTTCAGACACCTCCTATTCAGCATGAGCCACCTTTTACTTTTGGACAATCGACTGTATCAGTAAAAATGTCTGATGTAGCTATGACTGATGAATACAGGATATCGACAATGTTTGTTTTTAACTGTTTGGGTTTGTTTTGGTTTTTTTTCTTCAGACTGGTACCTTTTTTCCCCTACTCTCTCAGGCATCAGTGCTTTGGGTGAGACAAAGAGAAATGTTTTCTTTTAAGCAGTGCAGGATGAAAAGGTTACCTTGTTTACCAGTAACTCTGGAGTACAAAGAACTACTTTGTCTTTATGGAAGAGGCAGTAAAGGTAGTGTTTCTTAAGGGCTGAAGTTTCCAAGGCTGCTCTTGTTGATGTGACCGTGACCCAGCGGCCTGTCTGCAATACTGGGAAGCACGGGCAATGAGGGGCTGCTGGCTTCAGGGTCAGTGCGACTGACTCTGCTCCCAGAGAGGACAGGATCCAGAGCTACAGTTACAGTTGTGTCTGAAAGGACAGGCAGAGGAGGAAGCTGCATAGATACTAACAACACAGAAGGCTTTGTGAGTAAAGAGATGATCAGACAAGATTACGTGATCTTACTGCTGAGAAGGAGATACTTTTAAAATACTTCAACAAATGTTTTTTTCTTGCACTTCATTAACATTCTGATACAGCTGCAAGACTACCCCATGTGGAATCACTCTGCTATCTTTTTTTTCTTCCTGTGCACTGAAGCTCAGTATTATTTAATAACTCCTATTCATGTGTCTTCCATACAACTCACAGTAATCAACTACACTGATTCATAGGCAATGAAATCCAAAATTTTTCTATACTTAAAGTGTTTCTTAATGCTGAGAGAATAATCTCACTTATCCAAGAGTACTGCAGGCATAACTGATTTTGCAAACTTTCTAAAAGCTGACAAAGTGGAACTATTTCCCCTGAAAAAAGGCAAATAGGGCAAGAAAAATGAAACATGAATAGAAAGATAAAGAAAGTGACTTTACTGAGGAATGAAAAGGAACGCAAGAGATGAGATGACATTTCCACATAAGCAAGTAATTATTACAGTAAGAAGAACTACCCACTATCCACCGTTGCATTCAGTTATGCTTTAAGAATTTGTTTCCATTTTTAAAAAGACTTTAAAAAATGCCAATAATTAAGATGTCATTACACAGCTTACCCACCCATCCAACATATAATTTCTATGTTATGATAAAATTAATTTTTCAAAAGCATACAAGAAAGTACTAGTTCTTTTCATAAGAAAACACAGACCTTACTTGCTATTTACAAGGTGTTTGCTGTAGCATATATAATGATCAGAAACACTAAGAGCCCCTGGATTCTAGCACTGGGAACTGGTAAGCTATCAATTGTTATGCAGGAGTTAAGAAAATGTAAGACTAAATGGCCTACCTTCACTGCCAAGAAGTTGAGACCACTTTCATGAGCCAAAGCTTTTGCTATCATTGTTTTTGAGCACCCAGGAGGTCCGTAAAGCAGCACGCCTTTTGGAGGTTGAATCCCCATTCGGATGAAGGAGTCAGGATGTTTGAGAGGCCATTCGACTGCTTGCTTCAATTTCAGCTTGACATCTTCTAGTCCTCCTATGTCGGACCAAGATACCTGCAAAGCACACCATTTTGCTGAATTCAGACAATGAAGCAAAACTATTAAAAAAGAAAGCAAAACAAAAACGCTCTGTAGAATGCGTACTGGTTATTTCATGGAGTTGTTTTTAATGAGTCACTTCTTCAAAAAGCCTTTTTAAACAAGAAGTAATTCTTAATAAAGTCACAAAAAGTAAAAGGGGATTAGGCTTGCTTTATGTTGGAGGATGTAGGTAAAATATTTTGTTTCTACTTCAAACATCAATAACAAAACATAGAAAAATAACAATAAAATGACAGCATGATCATACAGGCAGCAACGCTTTGCATGATCACTAGCAAAGTCACAACTCAGTTCTCTTGTTTTTTAATGTGATGCTGACGCAGAATTTGTAAATTACTTTGATGTCTTCCCTGAAGGAAAGGGCTGCGTGAGCTCAAGCTGGTTTTATTTATAGCTGCAGAGTAAGGCCCTGATCCCAGCCGCATAATCCCACTGAGCTGAATAGGGCTGAGCATTAGAAGTTTTCAGGGATTCTTCGCTTGCCATCAGTATCGCTCCCGTATAGGACCTGGGCACTGAAGATTTGACTAGAAGCTTGTGAACAAACAATCCTCCAAACAGACAAGTATCTACAGAAAAGAAAAACCACACACAAAAAAAGCAACACTCAAACCCAACTGCAGTTAAAAAACAACTGCAGTTAAGTTTGCTCTGCTGAAGACGTAAGACAGGCTTGTCAGGCATACATTGGGACAGAACTAATACATCCTACCCAAAACAGCAGACAGATCTGAACCCTACTACACCTCTTCCTGTATCACTGTCAACAAGCCTGAGACTTTTCCCTGCATCCCCCAGCCTCTTCTTCATCCTGTCATCATCCACTCCCATCCACTTCAAATATTAAACATGTCAAGATACACCTAAATCAAATGATCTTCTGCCTTACAACAGTCTTTCAAAAACTCACTAGACATAAATCACCCTTCAGCTCTGGAAAATCAGCCACACTTGCAAAGCAAGCAGAGTATTACTAAGAGGCAATGTATCACCTTTCTCCTGACTTGTTAACTGGTGTCACTCCTGCTTGTCCCTGTCGCTATTTTCCTGATACCGGTACACAGAGCGGAAACTAAAAGTAGAGAGTCCCTGAAAGAGGCAACTCAGTCAACTATTGAAGTGGAAAAAAAAGAGCATTTGGATGTGGTGCAAGCACATTTGTGTAAGTCCAAGCAAACTGCAAACCAGATAAAACTTCTCCTTGATTGTCAGTCTTCGACATAGAAGAAAATTACAAAGACAGCGGAGAGCAAACAGCAAAGATCAACACACATAGGTCAACCCTTCAGAAATATTCTGAGTTTAAAGGCTAACGGGAAGGTGAGGAGCTGCCAATCTGCTGCCTGCAGAACATCCTCTCTCTCATACCAGGAATATGTTACAGGAACTCTAGAAAAAAAAAA